CAAGGAAAACAGAGTGATTTACTCTTCTCAAATCAGTGCATGTTTTTAAGACGCACAGAGTTCAATATGAAATGAGAATACTTTATGGATGTTTGGAGTTATAACAACTCACTGGATGCACAGCCGATGTCTACTTGGAATACATTCAGTGAAACTTACCTGAAGGGGTCGCCATGGAAGTAACAAAGACACAATTAGAACAGTTACCAGAACACATCAAAAAGCCAATCTAGGAAACAGAAGAAAGCAATTTGTAATGCCACAACCATGCCCTTCCTGGATTTCCAACACACCAGGATGATGTATGCATTTCAATGGAGTGACTTCTCTGCCCCTTCCTGGTGCCTTGCTCTGTGGGAGTTGGCACGGAACTTTAAAGGCAGTCTGGACTGCAGTGAACAGACCATTTTATCTATTCTTGCATACATGTCATTGTTTCTTGTCTCCATTGTAAGAAACTTGAGGGGGGGCTGAGAAGTTGGCTCAGTGGTAGAGGGCTTGCCTTGCATGCCTGAGGCCATGGGTTCGATTCCTCAGCACCACATAATCAAAAGGAAAAAAGCCAGAAGTGCTGCTGTGGCTCAAGTGGTAGAGCGCTAGCCTTGAGCTGAAGAGTTGAGGGACAGCGCCCAGGCCCAGAGTTCAGGCCCCACAACCGGACCCCCCCCCAAAAAAAAGAAGCTCAGGGACAGTGCTCAAGTCCTGAGTTCAAGCCCCAAGACTGGAAGAAAAAAAAGTTTATGCTTCAAAAAGAATATACTTTGCAGCCAATGAAGCACATTTGTGCCCTGCTCTGAGCTCTACTTGTAAGTAGTCCCAGATCCATCCAGGCCAGGACTGCAACCAAGGGTCACCACAATAGAATTTATGCCCTCAAGAAATTGCTACTTGCATCCTTTCATTCATCAGATTAATTTATTCAGCAAGCTTTTATTTGGCAAATTTAGCACTCAGCCCTTTTTTAAGCTCATGGCTTAAGAAAAGAATCTCAAGGGGGCTGGTAAGGTGGCTCAGTGGTAGAGTACTTGTCTGGCATGCTTGATACCCTGGGTTCTATTCCTCAGCACCACATAATCAGAAAAAGCCGGAAGTGGCGCTGTGGCTCAAGTGGTAGAGTGCTAGCCTTGAGCTCAAGAGCTGAGGGACAGTGCCCAGGCCAAGAGTTCAGGTCCCACGACCGACCAAAAAAAAAAAAAAAGAATCTCATGGACTTTCCTAGTTTTAAAACATGATTTTCCAATCTCAACCTCCTAAGTAGCTAGGATTATAGTCTTGAGCCACCAATATCCTGCTGCCTATAAATTTAAAAACAAAGGGCTGGAGTTGTTCAAAGGCCTGCAGCCCCCAAATACATGCAACTCAGGAAACAGGCCCGAGAGGAAGGAAGAAATAAAATACCTCTGATGGAAAGTTGAGTTGGGTCGCAATGATGACCAGAGATGAGCCAGGAGCCAGGACACGATCACAGAGACACATGTGGCATGGCATCTTGGTGCCTATGCTGTACCATGACTAAATAAGGTCTGGGCAGGGGGGGGGGCAAGGTCTCAAGACACTCCTAGTCCCAGGCACTGGACTGACAGGTTCAGCAACCTATTAGCCTGTCGCTGTCCCCAGGGATTCAGGAATGCTTATCACCTGCGGGGGGGGGGGGGTAAATTACCTTCCCCCTACCGTGAAGACAAGAAGCCAGACTTTAAGTGGATGTACTCAGGTACCAGCAGAATTTTTCCATCTAGGGAAGATAGGCCTTAACCTTCCATATAGGGTATGCTTAGAGGCTACTCAGAGGCTGGTGATTCAAGCCATTTAGGGAGCTAATCAATGCAGATTCAGAGCATTCTCCACCTGCAAAGCTCTCCTTAGGCTATGACTGCTGCATTTTAAAGCAGAGCCCCAGGCATCGGCACTTCAACTGATCTCACCTCTAGGCCTTGGAGCTGGGTTGACAGCCCCCATCTCCAAGCCTAGGTACTAGGAATCGCTGCAAGAAGTTATTTAGCCTCAACCACCTTACTTCAATATGACATTATAAAATGAGGCTAATCAATATGAACTCCAAGAGAAACAAGAGGTTTGTTTTTTTTTAATATACTGTGTGAAATTATTTATTTTTTCTTTCGTTCCCCCCCCCCTTTGGTCTATCCCCTGTTGTCACTGTTTTTTATTTTGGTACCATGTTTATCTGATTTGTGGAAGGGAACTGAAATCACAAAATGGTGAGACAAAGGACAAAAGGTGAACCAATGCAACAGTGATACAAGACGCTGTGTTGGAAATGAACTTTACAACTTGGAGGGGAGGGGAGTGGGGGGGAGGAAAGGAGGGAGGAAATAGGGAGGTAACACTGTTGAACAAGAAATGTACTCATTACCTTACTTATGTAATTGTAACTCCTCTATACATTACCTTTACAATAAAAGAAAATAAAATTTTAAAAGAGAAATCTTTTTTTTTTAAAGGGCTGGGAAGGTGGCTCAGTGGTAGAGTGCTTGCCTTGTATACATGAGGCCCTGGATTCCATTCCTCAGCGCCACATAAGCAGAAAAAACAGAAGTGGAGCTGTGGCTCAAGTGGTAGAGCACTAGCCTTGAGCTGAGGGACAGCACCCAGGCCCAGAATTCAGGCCCCACGACCGACAAAAATAAAAATCTTTATTTGTTCTTTTGTTGCAATGTTTTTGTTGTCATATTCAAGAAACTACTGCTAGATCAAATGTCATTAAGATTTTCTTCTATGTTTTTGAGAGTTTTATATATCTATTGTGGTTGTCTTTGATTCTTTTTTTATTTTTTGCCAGTCTTGGGGCTTGAACACAGTGCCTGGGCACTGTCCCTGAGCTTCTTTTGCTCAAGGCTAGGCACTTTACCACTTGAGCCATGATACCACTTCTGGCTTTTTCCTGTGTATGTGGTGTTGAGGAATAGAACTCTGGGCTTCATGCATGCTAGGCAAGCACTCTACCACTAAGCACATTCCCAGCCCCCTTTGATTCTTTGTTGTTATTGGTGGTGGTCATGGGGCTTTAACTCAAGGCCTGGCCATTGTCCCTCAACTCTTGCTCAAGGCTAGTGTTCTACCACTTTGAGCCACAGTGCCACTTCCAGTTTTCTGATGGTTAATTGGGGATAAATTTCATGGGTTTTCCTACCTGGGCTGGCTTTGAACTGCAGTCCTCAGATCTCAGCCTCCTGAGTAGCTAGAATTACAGATGTGAGCCACTAGTGCCCAGCTTTGATCCATTTAAAAAATAATAATTTTATGATTTACTTTTTTGGGCTTTTTTTTCTTCCTGTTTTTGCATTTCCTGGGTTTTGAACTTAGGGTCTTGTGCTTGCTAGGCATTTGCGCTACCATTTGAGCCATGTCTCCGGCCCTTTGGGGTTCTTTTTCTTTTTTTATTTTGTTAAAGCAATGAAAAGGATTCAGTTTACCAACTTGCGAGGGGCATTCTGGGGCTCAAATTCAAGGCCTGGACATTGTCCCTGCACAGTTTTGCTCAAAAGTATTGTTAGCATGCCCTCCATCTCAGGTCCTCAACCCCTCCCTCAAAACCAGTTGATCTGGACAGGTCTAACTGCAACTCACTTTTAGCCCTGCCCATTCCTCCCACTTCACTTCTCAGATGATGTTTTACCCCCGGCTCCTAGCTGCATCAGGAAATGCTGCCTAACTATAACTGTTATAATCAGAAAACCCTGCCCCAGTCATGTGCCATCTTTTTTTTTTTTTTGGTCGGTCGTGGGGCTTGAACTCTGGGCTGGGCGGTGTCCCTCAGCTCTTCAGCTCAAGGCAAGCACTCTACCACTTGAGCTACAACGCCACTTCTGGTATTCTGGCAGTTAATGGGAGATGAGTCTCATGGACTTTCCTGCTCGAGCTGGCTTTGAACCATGATTCTCAGATCTCAGCCTCCTGAGTAGCTAGGATTACAGACGTGAGCCACCAGCGCCCGGCTTCATGTGCCATCTTTAGCGTTCAGCTGCGCCCAACAACAGAGGACTTCCCATCTTCCGCACTTAGCCCACTTGAATATAAATTTGACCCTGAACAAAGGACAGGCACCATTTTCTCCCTCTCTTGTGGGAGAGGTGGCCTTGTCATCCCTGGCTGACAAACTGTTTCTCCTGTACATGGGTACACCCATGTGGTTTTCTGGGAGGGGGCTTACACATATCACTCTACTGCTAGAGCCACAGCTCCATGCTTTTTGGTATCAACTGAAGATAAAAGTCATATGGAGCCAGTTGCTTGTGGCTGTGAACCTTGATCCTCAGATCTCAGGCTCCTAAGTAGTTAGGATTATAGGCATGAGCCACTGGCACCCAGCACAATTATTTTTCCAGTCTTGGGGTTTGAACTGTCCCTGAACTTCTTCCTGGGGCTTGGGCACTGTCTCTGAGCTTCTTTTGCTCAAGGCTAGTACTCTTATCACTTGAGTTACAGCATAACTTCTGTCTTTTCTGTTTATGTGGTACTGAAGAATTGAACCCATGGCTTCATGCATGCTAGACAAGCACTCTACCACTAAGTTACATTCCCAGCTCACTTTTTTAAAAAATCTAACCTCCCCCTCCTCTTCCTCCTTGGTCCTTCTTTGCCTTCTCTCACAGATATCCTGACTTTTAGCAGCTGACAACATCTCATATGGCTCAGCTACTTGTCTGAATTTTTTTCTCTATAGCTTCTTTATTCTCAAGGGTTTCATCTGGATGTCTCTTTAGTGCCAGTTTCTGACCAGGATTTTTTTTATTTTTTGTTGGTTGTGGGCCTGTACTCTGGGCCTGGCCGCTGTCCTTCAGCTCTTCAGCTCAAGGGTAGTGCTCTACCACTTGACCCACAGTGCCACTTCTGGCTTTTTCTGCTTATGTGGTGCTGAGGAATCGAACCCAGGGCCTCATGCATGCAAAGCAAGCACGCTACCACTGAGCCACCTTCCCAGCCCCTGACCAGGTTTTTGTGTTGTTATTGTTGTTGTTTTTTATATCCTGAAGTGTGGCATGAGTCTGCATACCCAAAACTTAATAGTAATTCACTATATTTTAACAGATTATTGGAATAAGTCTGAGGATACACATGAGGTGAGAAACAGGGAGGCAAGTGGCTGTTCTTCCAGTGTCAAACTGCTTTTTGCTGCTGTTGTTGTTATTCTTTTATGGTTGTATAGGGAATTGAACTCAAGGCCTCAGTACTGCTTAGCATGTGTTCTAATACTTGAGCCATGCCACTACCCATTTATTTTAATGGCCTTGGGCTTAAACTCTGGGCTATTTTGCTCAAGGTTAACACTCTACCACTTGAGCCAAAGCTCCACTTCTGGTTGTTTTTGTTTGTTTTTTTTCTCTTCAGAGTTTCGAAATATTCTCATCTGTTAAATTAAGAAAGTCTCCCCTGGCAAAGCAGGAGAAGCCCCACAGGGCAGGTACAAAACAAAATGAAAACTTCTTTACAAAAGAAAAGGCAGGCACTGAAATGTAGCTTAGTGATAGATAGAGTGCTTGCCCAGCATGCATGAAGCCCTGGGTTTAATTCCTCACTACCACATAAACAGAAAAAGTCGGAAGTGGTGCTGTGACGCAAGTGGTACACTGCTAGCCTTGAGCAAAAAAAAAGCTCAGGCACATTACCCAGACTCTGAGTTCAAGCTCTAGGACTGGCAAAAAAAATTTAAAAAAGAAACAAAAGGCAGGAGACAGCCTTGGGTCAGGTTGAATAATACTCAGTGTATCATCATAACATCTCTGAGCTTTTTGTTTTGTTTTTTGGGTCCAGTCGTGGGGCCTGAACTCTGGGCCTGGGCGCTGTCCCTCAGCTCTTCAGCTCAAGGCTAGCACTCTACCATTTGAGCCATAGAGCCACTTCTGGCTTTTTTTTTTCTGCTTATGTGGTGCTGAGGAATCGAACCCAGGGCCTCAAGCATGCAAAGCAAGCGCTCTACCACTGAGCCAACTTCCCAGCCTATCTCTGAGCATTTTGATGGAGGTAGAAGGGACAGTGTAGTGTGTAGAGAGGAGAGGCCCAACAGGGTTCTCTTTACCTCTTTACCCCCTTTTATATCCCAGAGGAAAGCAGGGGGCTATGTGTTTCAAACCTGGGGACAAGGGTAAGAGGGGAATCTGTACTTTGAGCAACCTGAGCCAGAGGGTGTTGAAGGGGTGAGGGGAAGATGGATGATGCTTATTGCTTTGTATCTTTCACTGAGAAGGGCAGCAGTCAACAGTAGCCCTCAGATTTGTAAACTGAGCCTCCTGGTTTTAAGAAGGGAGGCAATGAGGGGCTGGGAATGTGGCTTAGTGGTAGAGTCCTTTATCTAGCATGCATGAAGCCCTGGGTTTGATTCCTCAGTACCACATAAACAGAGAAAGCCAGAAGTGGCACTGTGGCTCAAGTGGTGAGTGCTAGCACTGAGCAAAAGAAGCTGAGGGACAGTGCTCACACCCTGAGTTCTGAGTTCAAGCCCCAGAAATGGAACAAAAAAAGGAGGAGGGGGAGGGGGAGGAGGAGGAGAGGTGGTGGAGGAGGGAGGTAATGAAGTCCGATTAAGTAAGAGTCTGGCTAGGCTCACACCTGTAATCCTAGCTACTCAGGAGGCTGAGATCTAAAGATCACAGTTCAAACCAAGCTGGGCAGAAAAGTCCCTGTGAGACTCATCTCCGATTAACTACTCAAAAACCACAAGTGGCTCTTCCGGGGACAGTGTCTAGAGGCCATCAAAATGGTCCAGCGATTGACATACCGTAGGCTTTCCTACAACACAGCCTCTAACAAAACCAGGCTGTCCTGAACCCCTGGCAATAGAATTGTTTACCTTTATACCAAAAAGGTCGGAAAAGCATCAAAATCTGTATGTGGTGTATGTCCAGGCTGGCTCTGGGGGGGTTCGTGCTGTGAGACCTAAAGTCCTCATGCGATTGTCTAAAACAAAAAAACATGTCAGCAGAGCCTATGGTGGTTCCATGTGTGCCAAATGTGTCCGGGACAGGATCAAGCGTACAAATCGTCGTGAAAGTGCTGTGTCGGCACAGAGTCAGAAAGCTAAATAAAAAGAGGAAGTTGTGGCTGGGAAGGGATGTGAAGGGTAAACCAAAGGAGGAGGCTGCAATGCTTGGTAAGAAATGTACGCATTATCCTGCCCATGTAATTGTAACCCCTCTGTACAGTATGTTCACAAATAAAATAAAATAAAATAAAAAAGAGGAAGTTGTGTGGGCCTAGGATGCCAGAGGTTTCTAAATTGCTAGCAAAGAAAGAACCTTTTGGATAAATAAAGGCTTTGAGCAATAAAAAAAAACCAAAACTACAAGTGGGTGTTGTAGCTCAAACTGGTAGAGCACTAGCCTTGAGCTCAGAGACAGGTTCTAAATTCAAGCACTACAATGGACAAAAAATAATATAAAATAAAATAAATATAAAAGAGTCATTTGTGCTTAATGGGAAGAGGGTCATATGCTACCCCACACCCAGGCCTTTGCAGTGACATGGCTTTGGGGAGAGGGGATGAGCGTCTCTACCCCCTGCAATGGCTCAAGATGGCATTGTAGGGGAAGGGGTTGCATTTGTGCTCTGTCTGGGGAGTTACCCACGTGGAATCAACCCGGCATGCGTCAGCAAGCGTGCTCCTAGCATCCTCCTGCGCCTGCACACTACTCAGGATCTGAGCACGCCGCGGAGCGCGCAAAGCCTGGAATGCACTGCAGGCTAGCAGTTCTCGCCCCTCCCCCCCCTTACATCTACCTACAGGCTCTACGGGCCCTGCGCATGTGAGGCGGGGTGGGGGGAGGGGGGAGGGGGGAGGGGGAAGAAGCTTAAAAAAAAAAAAAAAACAGCCCGCGGAGCCTGGCCAGGGTTGCCCGGCATTCCCGCCACAAAGGCCTCTCGGGTGGTTGGAAGTCTTGCGCTTGCAGCTGCCTAGAGGAACATGAACCAATTCCGGACCGAAGAGCGAGTCTGCGACGTACCCATTGTAGCCCACAAGCCTCAAGTTCCGTGGCCACCAGATCATCATGGCCGCCTGCTCGCCCTTCCTTAGGGACCCATTCTTGCTTAAGCCCCTGGTTCGAGTTGCAGGTCTCCCTGATGCACAGTGCATACGTCATGGCCAACCTGCTCCTCTCCTGCTGCAAGGGCGCCCCAGAATTTGCTGTCAGAGACATCGTCAACTGCCCAACAGCTATCTCGTACCTGCAAAAGAAACACATGGTGGAGAAATGGTAGAACACCCTTAGCCAGTTCATGGAACCCAAAATAGGCCTCAAGGAGGATGGGGTGGTGAGCAGTGTCAGTGCCATCAAGTCACTCCTCCCTCCAGGCAGGACCCCAATGGCAGACGGCAAGCCCTGCCCCCACCTTCTCTATCCCTTCCTCTCCTGCAGTCTGTGAAGCTAGAGTTCCCACTAGATAAGGACCTACAACTGAAGGGGGAGGGGACGGGAGGGGGGGAGGAGGAGGTATCTGAGATCTGCGTGGAGGAGGGGAAAGAAGGAAGAGGAAGAGGTATATGACATCAGAGTCATGAAGGTGGAGTCTGCCCTTGAGGTGGCAAGCACACCTCAAACTTCCTGGAGACATAGGAAGCAGTCTGTGTATTGGGGGCTCTGAGCAGCCAGCCATCGTGGAGAGCTAGCCCAAAGTAGTGTGGCCCCCAACATTGTAACTCCACCACAAGGAGTCCTGAAACCTTGCTACAACCTGTTGGGGGACACAGGAGGGGAAAGCCTGCTGTTGATTCCTAGAGGTTGGGCCTGATGGAAGCAGCAGCAGGGGCCATGGCTGCTCAGAGGGCAGGAGCAGCCTAGCGGCAAGGGGCAGCCAAGGGCCCTTGCCAGGGGTCTTTTTGAGTGGAAACCCCACGTGCATGCACAACATTTCATCTTCAGGTGCCCACATGGTAGCAAGCCATAAAACCATAGCAGCAACCTCAGCCACCACATGAACGTGCACCATGGCATCAAATCACACTCGTGTGGCCTCTGCAGCAAATGTTTCATGCAGAAGTCCACACTGCATGGCCACTTCAACCTACACACAGGAGCTCAGTGCATTCCCTGCTCCTATTGCAATGTGCACTTCGCCCACAAGCCTGCCATTAGGCGACACCTCAAGGAGCAGCATAGCAAGACCACAGCAGAGAATTTTCTGGAGGCCAGCATGGTGGAGAGCAATGTCTTCATTGGATGCTAGCAGGGCAAAGAGTCTGGGGTCCTTAAGCTGAAAGAGGGCTCTTGAGCTTGGTAGAAACGCCAGGGGGGAGGGAGGGGGAGACATCTGAGGATCCTGGGAAGATATACACAACCTCAGGGAGAAGGGAGGAAGATTCTTTGGTAAGAAGACCCTGCCTCTTGGAGAAGAAAAGCATGGGACAACAAGACTAAGAAAATATTCAGTCCCCGAGAAAGATTTCTTCTTATAGAAGTGCGTGGATATGTGGAGGGAGGGGAAAGGGTCCTATAGAATAAGAAAAAGCAAAGGCTGGAAAGTTTATTTTGTTTTTGTTTTTCCTGGCTAAGGCTGCCTAGGGGGAGATTATGCCATTTGTGGAGGTGGGGATGGGTGGATGGGAATTGGGAGAGGACTTGGGCAGGAGACAGCTTGCTTGCTCCTGTTTAGATCTTCGGGAGAGGGCATGATAGGGGGAAATGATTATTGAATACCAGAAAAGGAAAGGGAGACAGTTCTTGCATGCTGAGGAAGTTGGGACTGTGAGTACAAAGCTCGCCAAAATTGAGGGGAAAAGAACACAGTAAGAAAACACTATAGTGGGGGCTGGGGATGTGGCTTAGTGATAGAGTGCTTGCCTAGCATGCATGAAGCCATGCGTTGGATTGCTCAGTACCACATAAACAGAAAAGGCCAGAAGGGGTGCTGTGGCTCGAATGGTCTAACTTTGAGCAAAAAGAAGCTTAGGGACAATGCCCAAGCCCTGAGTTCAAGCCCCAGGACTGGCAAAAGAAAAAAGAAAAAGAAAAGAAAACACTGGAGTGAAGATTCTGGGTAGATAATTGGGAAGTGGGAGTACAAAAGCAAGAACAATGAATAGTGGAGGGGTGAGGGCAGGGGATTTAGGAGAAAGGACACAAGGAGGGCTGCTGGGGGAAGGGGCAGGGAGTAGTAGGGACTTATACAATATTTTTAGGGGCCTGTCCTGGAGCTTGAACCTCAGGGTCTGGACACTGTCCCTGAGCCTCTTTGTGTTCAAGGCTAGTGCTCTACCACTTGAGCCACAGCACCACTTCCAGCTTTTTCTGAATGGAGATAAGAGTCTCATGGACTTTTCTGCCCAGGCTGGTTTCTATCAGCCATCCTCAGATCTCAGCCTCCTAAGTAGCTAGGATTACAGGTGTGAGCCACCAGTGCTTGGCTTATACAATATTTTTTTAACAAAATAAAACCATATTTTTTTAGGATTTTTTTATGGAGTTTGGTCTTTTTTAGAAATTTTTCAGCTTTATTTTCCATTAAAAAAAACTTTTCTTAGCTGAGATCTGAGGATCTCGATTCAAAGCCAGCCTGGGCAGGAAAGTCCGTGAGACTCTTATCTCCAATAAACCACTAGAAAACCAGCAGTGGTGCTGTAGCTCAAGCGGTAGAGTGCTCACCTTGAGCTGAAGAGCACAGGGACAATGCCCAAGCCCAGAGTTCAAGCTCCACGACCGACCAAAAAAAAACAAACAACAAAAACAAACAAACAAAAAACCCACTTTTCTTTAAAACAAAACAAAACAAAACAAAGACTGGATAGCAGGAAGAGCAGTGGGGACAAAGCAGAGGGAGTGAGTCACCTGGTCGCTGTCCAAGCCACCTGGAGCTGACTGGCTGCCATCAAGTCTGGTCTAAACACCATGTATCGGCTGGGTGGATGACAAGCAAGCTGCACTTCCCAAGTGAGAACAATGTTCACTTACAAATCCTTGGTGCACAGCATGAACTTACTGCTCAACCTCTAGGAGCATAGGAAGAAGGATGGGCTGTGTGATGTCACCATGGTGTTGGAGGGCAGGCACTTCCGGGTCCACCTCCCTGTACTGGTTGCATGCAGCAGCTGTTTCCACACCAGGAATGTAGGCCAGATGAATGCCAAGCTGAGCACCATGCTGCCCAAAGAGGTGATAGTAAAGGGATTTGAACCCTTAATTCAGTTTGCCTGCATGGCTATACTGATGAAGTGGATGAACGTGGATGAAGTCTGCAGGTGTGTGCAGTTCTTAAGTGTACACAACACTGAGGAACCTTGCTTTCAGTTTGTCAAGTTTATGGACTCCATTGCAGAGCAGCAAGAATGCCCAAGAAAAAAGTGCTCCTCATCACACTGTCAGAAAACAGACCTTCAGTTTTCACTTTCAGACCAGGAAGATCTAGGACTTAATGAAGTTGAAGACTTTCTGGAAAATAAAAATGTCCTGAGCCCTCAGTGTACGCCAAAGGTAACAAGGAAATGTAAAATCATTGCCTTTACCGAGAGGACAGTTTCAGACTTAGGAATCCATGTGCTTAGAAAAGGATGCTGCCTTGGGCCTGCCATCTTTCTTTCTTTATATATAATATATATTATTGTAAAGAAACTGTACAGAGGGGTTACAGTTACATGAGTAAGGTAATGAGTACATTTCTTATGAGCATTGTTACCCCATCCTTTGTTTTGGGGCCTGCCATCTTTATGCTCTAAATGCAGAAAATTGCAGAAAGCATTTGAAACTGATCAAAATCATGCTGTGAAATCCCGGGTCTAAGACACTCATACTGGTGCTACTCAGGCAAACGAGATGCCTAAGAACAAATGTCCAAGGGTAGCCCAGGATTCGGAAGACCTACCAGGCGCTAGTGGCTCATACCTGTGATCCTAGCTACTCAGGAGGCTGAGATTTGTCATGGTTCAAAGCCAGCCTGGGCAGAACAGTCCATGAGACTGGAAGTGGTGCTGTGGCTCAAGTGGTAGAGTGCTAGCCTTGAGCTGAAGAGCCCAAGGATAGCTCTTAGGCCCAGAGTTCAAGCCCCATGACTGACAATACACAAATAATTAAATAAAATGTGAAGAAAATAAGTTAGCAAGGTGCATGAAGACACAAAGTGAAGCAACCCTGTTTCTTAGTGCCCAAGCAAATGCAATGGACTCTCTTCCACCACAGTTCTTCTGTAGATCTTCCTGTTGTCTACTATAGAATTTCACTGGAATGCAAAATACAACAGTGAAAACAGAGAAACCTTTGACAGGTGTAGATGTCAAAGAAGAGAAAGTGTTTGGTGAATGTCAAGATTTACAACCCAACCTGGTCCCTAAGGAAGGTGGTAACCTTATGTCATATGATCGGAATACCATGGAACAAGAGGTGGCAGAGCATCTGGCAAAAGTCTTCTGGAGTGACATTTGTCCCACAGCCTCTCCTTGCCAAATGCAGCTGTCACCTGCTATAGCCAAAGATGGTCGAGAACAGATCTATTCCCAGAAGTGATCTGAGCGTTCCTGGTTACATATCAGGATCAGTGAGAGCCCAGAACCAGCTCAGAGGACTTTTGCAACCGAAAGCACTGTCAAATGCTCCTTCATAAGTACTCTGAAACTAGGGTGCTGGTGGCTCACGCCTGTAATCCTAGCTACTCAGGAGGCTGAGATCTGAGGATCCCTGTTCAAAGCCAGCCCAGGAAGGAAAGTCCATGAAACTCTTATCTCCTATTAACCACCAGAAAACCAGAAGTGGTGCTGTGGCTCAAAGTGGTAGAGGACTAGCCTTGAGCAAAAGAGCCTAGGCCCTGAGTTCAAGCCCAAGATTGACCCCCCCCCCAAAAAAATATTCTGAGTACCAAGGGTTGTTCGTGCAGTTTGGAAATTGGAAATAATTGGGTGTCAGAGCCCCAGCAGGAACCAAGAATATTAGGTAAAACTTCCATTTAATGCACAGAAAATCTTCTCCCTCTTGCGAAATGACTTTCAGTCCTTGTTGAAGATGCATGAGCTGACCCCAGAACAATTGGACTGAATCCATGATATCTGCAGAAGGAGCAAAAACAGAACTTCCGCCCAGTGCTGTTGCAAGAGGAAGCTTAACTGTGTCCAGAATCTCCTATCTGAGAAGCTGCACCATGAAAAAGCAAGATTGTTGAAGACAGAGATCACATTTTGCCCACTTGGTGAAACAAAGCAAAACCTAACTGGACTCTGCCAGCAACTCTGTAAAGAAGCTGAGCTGCTCTGAGTCAAGAACAAATCCAGATACTTGGCTTCAGATTTCCCCCTTTTTGTCCCACTGAAGGTGAACTTACACTCCATGTCCATTTTTAATTTAGCCAATGTGTCTTAGTGGTGCTGCCTGCCAGCAGGGGGCAAAGTAGGGAGGCCAGCTGTGAGTGGGCTCACCAGCCCCAGTCCAGTTCCAGGGAACCCAGGGAACAGCAGCTGGGTGAACAGGGTTGCCAGAGTGGCTCCATATCTGAGTTCTGACAGAAGATGATGAATAAATGCACTACTGATGAGTAGATGATGTGCTTTCTCCCACCCTGCCATGCAATCTGCTATTGAAGACTTACTTGATACTGTCTTTTTTTTGCGGGGGGGGGGTCCGGTCGTGGGGCCTGAACTCTGGGCCTGGGCGCTGTCCCTCAGCTCTTCAGCTCAAGGCTAGCGCTCTACCACTTGAGCCACAGCGCCACTGCCGGCTTTTTTATTTTTGCTTATGTGGCGCTGAGGAATCAAACCCAGGGCCTCTGGCATGCAAGGCAAGCGCTCTACCACTGAGCCACCTTCTCAGCCCCTTGGTATTGTCTTGAAAGCCTCATGGTGGTCTCTTGCTTAACAATATACAGACTTCTATTTGGGGAAATCCTCTTAAGTCAACCTCAACTTGCTTCTTGGGCTTAACAAGAAAACACCAAGATGATTATCTCCTGGGTACTGGAGGGAAAAAAAGAAAGAAAAAAGAAAAAAAATCCACACGTGAAAAT